CTCTACCCCCAGTAGGTATTTTTATTGTCACCCTGATTATTAAAGGGACGATAACATTAAGTGGGGTTATAAGTAGAGAGTAACCATAGTTAGACCTTGTTAGGGGACTTTTTCCTCCACTAAAACTGCCCATGAGCCTCCATGCAGACCCTAAATTCCCAAATCAGGGTAAACCCTAAACCCTAAACCCTAAACCCTAAACCCTAAACCCTAAACCCTAAACCCTAAACCCTAAACCCTAAACCCTAAACCCTAAACCCTCCTCCAAGTAGACCCCAAGTTCCTAAATCCCTGTAGAACCCTTACAGGAGCCCTTCACGGAACCCTTCTGAAGGAACCCCCATGTGGGGTTTAGGGTTTAGGGTTTAGGGTTTAGGGTTTAGGGGTTTAGGGTTTAGGGTTTAGGGTTTAGGGGTCCAAATGCCCAAATAGTAGGGTTTCAACGCCCCAAAACCATTCAGAGTATGGATTTTGGAACCAAACACCTTACTATTTGGGTACTCGGACCCTCTGGGTCAGAGGATTGGTTCGGAGTTTGGGCCCCGGGGTGATGGTGTAGGTACCTGGAGGTTCATGGGTAGTTATAAGTGGGGGTATAAGTTCCTTTAAGGGTTCCTTTAAGGGTTCCATGGGGCTTTAGAATGTAAAGTTTAGGGGTAGCTGTAAGTGGGGGTATAAGCAGGGCAACCATAATTCTAACCCATATTAGGGCACTTATAACTACCCATGAACCTCCAAGTAATTATAACCGCACTTATAACTGCCCATGAACCTCGAAGCAAGGATGACTGTAAGTCTGCGTTAAACAGTTAGGGAGTGGCTTCGCTTTTGTTTGCTCTCCGGCAGTATCACTAAACCCTTAAGGTTTAGGGTTCAGGGTTATTAGGGTTTAGGGTTTAGGGATATTAGGGTTTGGGGTTTAGGGGTTTAGGGTTTAGGGGCTTTGGGAACGCCAGGCTCCCGAAAGAAGCCCAAGGAAGCCATCCTAGTCCTTTTCAGCTCTCCTTTCAGGGCTCCTTTCAGGGTCTTCTGAGGGGTACTTTATAAGGGCATCCACCGGAATAGGCGGATCCTCAGGTTAAACTCCTGTTCCATTTCCAGATCGCGGCATTCGTCGTTTTGGTGGTCTATATAATAAAGAACCCCTTATGAAAATCTTCTCAATCCTTCATAGAGAGAGCCCGTATTGAACCGCTGGAAGAACCCTTGAGGTCCTGATCTACCCTAAACCCTAAAACCCTGAACCCTAAACACCCTGAACCCTAAACCCTAGACCCTAAACCGGGTATGTGCGGACTCTCCTTTGGGGTTCAGAGGTTTTGGGGCTTAGGGGAGCTTGGAGGTTCTTTTTGGGTTGGTCTGGGTTTAGGTTGCAGGGCTTCAAAGGGTTTAGGGTTTAGGGTTATTAGGGTTTAGGGATTAGGGTTATTAGGGTTTAGGGTTTAGGGTTTGGGGTTTAGGGTTTAGGGTTTAGGGTCGAATGTTTGAGTCCTGGCTTCCTCTTCATCATCACCATCATCCATCACAGTGAACTTCGCTGTAGTCATGACCACTCACTCTCCTTGTCACCGCAGCGACCATCATCGTCATCACCGCCATGATGGCCACATATCAGGGACTCATAAGTAAATCCTAAACCCAAAACCCCAATAACCCTAAACCCTACTAGCCTTAAAACCTACACCCTAAAGCCTAAGATCCCTAAACCCTAAACCCAAAGCTCTAAAGCCTAATATCCCTAATAACCCTAATAACGCTATACCCCAAACCCCAAACCCCAAACCCCAATAACCCTAAACCCTACTAACCCTAAGATCAAAGTTTAATGGTTTCAGTGTTCCGGGCTCAGAATCTCAGTTTGCGTTGGGGTGTGGGTTCGCTTTTGTTGGCTCGTTGGTCGTATCACTAAACCTAAAGGTCTAGGGTTTAGGGGCACCTGGACTACAGCTGCTGTAGCTGACCCAGCTTGTATTTTGCTCGGTTTTGTCCGCAAAGCCGTTGTCTGCAAAAGTCTGCTTGCGCCCCAGATCTTCGCAGCACACTTCGTGGCTCCGGAAATGCTTGCAGGCGCACGCCACTCTCTCACTCCATCTGCTGCTCATGTTCCGTGCCGTGTTCTGGCAGGCGCAGCAGCCACGTACGACCAAAGAATAGACAGGTGGGCGTGCGATGCTGCAGCCTCAAGACGCAACAGCTACAGCAGGGTGCGCTCACAGCAAAACAAGGATTGTCCGGACAGAGGTGGTGCTTTTCTGCATGCTTGCCGGCAGCCCGCCCTTCTCTGGCAGAGACGATACTCAGATCTTGCGCGCTGTCAAACTGGCGCTCGAGTCTCAGTCTTGACGCGGCTGTCGGCTGCGCGCCGTTGAGGACGTGGCGTTTCGAGCCGGCGGATGCCTGGCAAAGTGTGTCTGCCATGGGCCGCAGGTGTTGGTCTTACGAGGGTGCTGGGGCATGTCGAAGAGGGCTACTTGTGTGCTTACCCCTATGCTTTCCATTTTTCCATTGCTGGTCTTGTTTGTTTTCTGTGTTTTGCTTTCTGCTTCCTGCAACCATCGCTGCTTTTTTGTTTGCTTGCGGCTTTCTGTTTTCTGCTTTCCGCTTTGGGTTATTAGGGCTTAGGGTTATTAGGGTTTAGGGTTTAGGGTTTACTAAACCCTGTGGCCTTAAACCCTGTGCTGTGCATGAAGAAAACCCTAAGCCGTAAACCCAAATCTAGGGGCCAAATGAGATGAGTGTTCCGTCCATGACTGCCGACTCTGGAGGCATGGCAACCGACACTTCCGTGACTAGGGATGGTACCGTTGGTGCATGGGGATGCAAATGTGGCAGTGGGCACGTCGGTGGAGCAAAACACGCCTACAGCGGTACAGGTGCAGACCGAGGAGGTCGAGGAACAGGAGGACGTGCTGATGGAGATGGTGCATGTTGGGGATGCACACGTGTTGGGTGATACCGATGAAGGGGATGATCAAGATTGGGCCGTGGATTACGCTTCCTCTTCCTCCTCGAGTGATACAGCCCCAACTGCGCCGTGATGTACACCCGCCCTCAACTTTCTTGTTCCTGCTCGCACCTGCAGTTGGCTTTCAATAATGGGATGTATCGCAACTGCTGTGGGTTTTTCAGTGATGGGATGTGCGTCTTTGAAGGGTGACGATGGCGGTGTTGTGCCCTGTTTCACTCTACGAGCCCAAGGAGGCGAGTGCGGTCGCAAAAGTCCGTCTATCGTAGGTCAAAAAACCCAAATCTATTCAAGCGAATCAAGCATGATATCCTATTATACATTCTAGTATACTATAATGTACTATGACTATGATTACTAGAAAATATTGCAACTTACTATTCAATTCGCTGTTCGAGACGAAGCAGCTCGCGGCAGGTTCTCGCCATACCACCGCAAGCTCCTACTCACGGGCTCCGCAGACGGTGCAGCCCTTAGAGTCTAGGGCTTGGGGTTTTGTATGGTTCTATATTATTTTGCGTGTTCCTCCTTATAAATATAGTACAATCTGCCCCCAAAGCCCTGTTCTAATTATTAAGGCCCCTACAGTATAGATCTTCGAAAAGATTCTTTGAGGGTTCAGAAAGGCTTACTATGATCCGGGTCGAGAGTTTTAGAGTACAGTGCTCAGGGTTGATGGGTTCAGGTTTAAGGTTTTAGGGTTCTTAGGGTTTAGGTTTTTAGGTTTTAGGGTTTAGGGTTTTAGGTTTTTAGGGTTTAGAGTTTCAGGGTTTTAGGTTTTAGGGTTTAGGGCTTTAGGGTTTTAGGGTTTAGGGTTTAGGGGTTTAGGGGTTTAGGGTTTAGGGTTTTTAGGGCTTAGGGTTTATAAAGGGTTTAGGATTCCCCACTCGGTCTTCGTGAGTGAGCGTTGACCGGTTGTATAGGGCTCGAGGGTCAGGCATAGACAGTCGAGCAACAAAGGGGCCTTAATAATTAGAATAGGGCTTTTGGGGCCCATTCTACTATAATTATGATAAGGACCCCCC